GTAACCCAGAAGCTAACTCATCCTAGGTAATGCTCTCTACGGTCGATTTACCTGCCCCAATGCTGTCCGTACTAGCACTCTTTCGATCACTAGAACTACCCTCACTTGAGTCACAAGAACTCCTCCTCCCCCTAGTTCTAGGATAACCTCGTCCGCGTGAGGGAGAAACCCGCAATCATTCATCCATTTCTCAGGGCACGTCTAATCCACCCGCAGCCCTCAAAGCTGCTCGAGTCCGAGGTGGCATCTCAAACTTGGATATCGATAATAAATTCTCATTATTCAATAATCTCTTATAATTCTACATGATGGTTTTCTAAAATGAACAAGTCTATGCAGGCTCTTGCCTATAATCGGTGCTACAGTCACTAACTATAAGCAAGACTCTATGTTGACCCTACTACTCCGCTGCTTGACACGAGAATTCCTAGGACTCAACTAAACCATGCTCTGATACTAAATCTGTAACGACCTTTTACCTTGATCGCCACCGGCGTTTGAAACTTGCGAGTGAACTCACCAAATCCAAAACAAGCCTTAATGAAATCTCTAATCAACATCGGATATTAACACTATAAATCATTCAAACCAAATATTCACAATAATTAACATATAGCCATTTGATAACTCCATACAACTCATCCTAATATATAAACATTATTACATCACCTTAAGCTTTAGCCATTACATTCCTAGTGACTATTGATTTTTACCAACTAGACTATATGATACACAAACCGACCTCTAGGCAGTGGAGTAACTCGGAGTGGAAGTCTAGAGATGTCGTTACCTAGTGTGTCGCCAACCTCGTGATGTTGAACAAAATCCTAAAACTGATTACTTATCTGTAAAAGAAAATAAAGTGGGATAAGTCTCACAGACTCAGTGATCATCAACTCTGTGAGTAGGGTGTAGACGAGAAACAAGCTAAAGGCAAAAGATTTGAAGATTTAGAAACAAAAGAGTATATACAAACAATTTATTCAAAAGGAAGATTTGTGCCTTATATGCAAATGAGTAAGTTTATGCTAATTAATCATTCAACAACGGGTTTAAAGTAATTAACTGTCATCATGCATGCTCTCGAAAAATTCAATATGTTACAAGCTTATGCATACATTCATAGTTCATTTCATGTACAAAGAGTTAAATCAATGTCATCACATAAGTAAGGGGAGTAGTAGAAAAACTATTGTTTTTCATTGTGCAACAATTAATTACGTGCAAAACCCAAAGAGATATCACTCTCGAGTAGGTATAGAAATAAAAACACGTAGACCCTCATCCACATCATAACATCCAAGAGCTCCGCTCCACCGGATCCCCACATGCCATGGCAATCTCAATGGTGTTGGCCGACATCGGAGATATCAGGAGGTCGCAACCGCGTATAACAATTTGTGGCCTAGCCATGTAAAATTATAGACCTTGGCCCCAGCCATTTCTAATAGCCCGTCGACGACCCAGAGGTTCTCTAGCTAGAGCTCACTTGTGCACAATAGTCACACTTAACCGGAGTGACAACCGACCTACTCTCGAATCTCTCGATTTAATAAAACCATTTAAAAGTCAAATCAAGTTTTCAAAAGATCATTTCAAACCATTTTCAAAATACCGATCATGTTAATACACTAAAACCTCTTTTTGTATCATCTTGCAATGTAAATCCTTTTTGCATAAGGTTAGATGTCTAATCAGCATGGTAAGTATGAAATCATTAATAAATGCACATAACACAATCAATAAGGCACATTTTTGACATAATTATATTGAAAAGCTTGCTTCGCGATTTTTAAATGCTTTACGTATATAACTCCTATATATATATATATATATAGTCAAACGCATTTCAAATGCTTGGCATTCACAAACCCCTAGGATATCTACAAGCTCATGCTTTCCACAAATTTTCATTTAAAATAAATCATTTCATACTTATATATATATATATATATATATATATACATACCTAATTATAGAATTATTTTTAAATGGACACCCCTTACTCACCTTATAATAGCGGGATCCTACTTCGCTATCAATTCAAGTATGTATCCCTTGATTTATGTTTGAATTTCCTAACTACAGTTCACCACCTCTTCACACCTAAGATTTTTTTTGCTGCCACAAATATAACCACACCTTAAAATCAATTTTCAAACATACTTTCATCAAACCAACAAGCTCCACTTCCTTACCTTGGAAATCTTGAGGCAAATCACCAATCCTCCTTAAATTTGGCTATGGGGAAGGAAAAGAGAAGAATTTCATTTGAAGGAAAGACAAAAAGGAAGAAACATGGGAGGAGATGGTGATAAGAGCTTAAGGTCTGGTTGGTATGGTGAAAGCCACGATTTGGAGGAAGAAAAATTACACAAGGGAGAAAGTGACGGTGAAGTTGAAAAATGAAAGGAAAATGCTTAAGGACAAAGGAAAGTGAAGGTTCTAGTATTTAATATGATAAGAAGAAGAAAATAGTAAAGGTTGTTCACTTTTTGGCTGGCCATGTGGGTGGGGTTAGAAAGAAAATTCAAGTAGTCTCAAGGTTATCCATTTGGTCAATCATGTAGGAAATTCTATCTTTTTCCCTTTAATCCTTCTCCCATCCTTTCCTTCCTTTATTGCACCAATTTTTCCCAACAATCTTACATAAGTGACCGGCCACATGGAAAAGAATAAGAGAAAGCAAAGTCAAAGCTGCCTTTCTAAGCTTGGACCAAGCGAAATAGTAAAAATCACCATTTAGCCCTCTTAAGTTCCTATTCTTTTTATTGAGTCCTCCCATCACTTTTTAAATTTCAATTTTTCTTCTAGTTCCTTCCTTGACATGTGTATAAACATAATATAAAGTCCGCACCCCATTAGCATGTCACCATAATATTTAAATATATACTTACCCGATTGTGCTCTATTTCATAAAAGCACGCGGGCTCCCTCTAACCTCATTGTTTTCTTCCAAATTTCCTCTTTTCTTCTCCTCCTCTACTTAGATTAGTCATATAACCTACTGTTTTAATTAATCTCACTAATAAATAAGAGATTAATATTTTAATATTATTTTATTCAAAAAAATTCTTTTTACCTATCGTCATTTTCTAACACTCAAACTTACATCAAATAACCTTTATTCTCATCAATAGAGTCTCATCAACCTTTAAATGAGGATACGGGGTGTTACATATATATTATTTTACAAAGGATAAATGTGTCGATTATTATAAATTTGAGTTATGGACAGCACGAGCTGGTAGATATTCTAAGAGTTTGTGAATGCCAAAGCATTTGAAATTTGTTTTGAATAGATGTATATAAGTTATATACATAAAAGATTTTATAACTAGGGAAACAAGCTTTTCAATATAATTTGTCAAAATGTGCCTTATTGATTGTCTGATGCGTATTCATGATTGAATTTCATATTCACCATGCTGGTTTGATATCTAAACCCCATGCAAAAGGTTTTGGCATTGCAAAATATTGCAAAAAAGAAGATTTTAGTACACTACCATGCTTGGTATTTTGGAAATGATTTGAAATGATGGCATCGCAAAATATTGCAAAAAAGAGGATTTTAGTACACTACCATGCTTGGTATTTTGGAAATAATTTGAAATGATCTTTTGAAAACCCAATTTGATTTTTAAACGATTTTATTAAACCAGGAGATTCGAGAGTAGGTCAGTTGTCACTTCAGTTAAGTGTGACCCTTGTGCACAAGTGAGCTCTAGCTAGAGAACTTTTGGGTCACCGATGGGCTATTAAACCTAGTTGGGGCTATGGTTTGTGATTGTTGTGGCTAGACCACTAGTAATATATGTGGTTGCGACCACTTGATTTATCTGATGTCGACTAATATTGTTGAGACTACCATGGCTGAAGGGATCCGATGAAGCCGAGCTCTAGGATATTATTATGTGGAAGCAGGTCCACGTGCTCTTTATTTCTACACATACTCGAAAGTGATATCCCTTTGGGTTTTTTTTTTTTACCTACGTCATTTTCACTTGGTGAAAATAATGGTTTTTCTATCGCTCCCTTACTTATACGATGACATTTGATTTAATTCTTCGTGTATGAAGTGATTTATGAATTTACACATAAGCTTTGTAAAATATTGGATTTTACAGGAGCATGCGTGACAACATGCAATTACTTTAAACTAGTTGCTAAATGATTTCGATGGTAGGAATCTTTACATTAATTAGGTTGATATTTGATTTAAATGACTATTTAGCAACAACTTACTTATTTTCCATATAAGGCATAAACCTCTCTTTTCGAGTAAATTGTTTACATATATTCTTATATTTTTAATATTCAAATCTTTTGTCTTTAACTTGTTTTCCATCTATACCCTTCTCACGGAGTTGATGATCACTGAGTCTATTAGACTCATCCCCTTTATTTTCTTTTGCAGATAAGTAATCAAATCAGGTGCATTGCTCAAAAAATCGAGCCTTGCTGCAACCTAGGTAATGGCATCTCTTAGACTCCTGCATCGAGTCTCTCCGCTGCTTAGAGATCGTGTTATGTCAAATAGTCAAACTTGTAATGATGGGTAGTTATTGAAAATGTATTTGCTAAAAATTGAAGTGATGTAATGATTGCTACATATTATGTTGAAATTGTTGTGGAGTTATCAAACTTGGTCATTAGTATCTAAATGTCATGTTTTAAATATCGTGATCATTTAGTTTAAGTGAACTATGGTGTTACAATTATAAGTTGAGTTTAATTTGTCTAGAAGCTTACTAAGGCTTGTTCAGGATTTAGAGGGTTCACACGTAAGTCTCGGATGCCAGTAACAATCGAGGGAAAGGGTCGTTACAAACTTGGTATCAAAGCCCTAGGTTTAGTTGAGTTCTAAGAATTCTCGTGTCAAGCAGCGGAGTAATCGGTTCAACGTAGAGTCTTGCTTATAGTTAGTAACTACAACACCGATTATAGGCAAGAGGCTGCGTAGACCTTTTTATCTTAAAAAACCATCGTGTGGATTTATCAGAGTTATTAAATAACAGGAATTTATTATCGATCTCCAAGTTTGAGATGTCACCTCAGACTCAAGCATTTTTTAGGGTTTTGGGTGGATCAAACGTGCTTAGAAAAACTGATGAACGATTACGAATTACTACCTCACGAGGACGAGGTCGTTCTAGAACTGGGGGTAGAGGAGTTCTCGACGTTTAAGTGAGGGTAGTTCAAGTGATCGAAGGAGTGCTAGTACGGATAGCACTACGGCGGGTGGACCTTCTTTAAAGAGTATTACCTTGGAAGAGTTAGTTGCTGGATTGTAAAATTTAACCCAACAGTTTACTAAATTTACTTAAAGATGTTCTAGTGCAACTGAAGAGTACATGGAGTCAAGCTTACGAGATCCAAACTATGACCCAAATATAGATACGATAGTGGAGGAAGGGTCAGAGGAGGAGGATGAGAACGATTCGAATAATGACGAAGGATATGACTCAGTTTCATTATCTGCATTTAAGAAGCTAAAACCTCTATCTTTTACTGGTTCCACAGTGGGAGAGGACTCACATAGATTTTTTAATACTATGGAAAGGATCTGTAGTGCTTTGGGAGCTTTTAGCACAAGGTCAATAACATTGGCTAGTTTTCATCTAGAGGATGTATCACAACAACGGATTACATTGTACATGTGGGGTAGATCTAGTGATATCGGTCCGCTTGGGTGGAAGGAGTTTGATAAAGCTTTTAGGGACAGATTTATGCCTTGTAGTGTGCAAATGACTAAGGCTAAGGAGTTTGAGGCTTTGAGACACACACCCAAGATGACAGTATCTAAATATGATGTGCAGTTTACACAATTGTCTAGATACGCCCCATACCTCATGTCTTCGGAAGAAATGAAAGTGAATAGATTTATGGCTGGACTATCTGAGTACTTATTCAAAGCTGTTACACCGCAGAGGTTTGATTCATACTCCGATGAAGTGGATTGTGCTCGGTTAATTGAGGTCGTAGTATGGATGCTAGGGCACTTCGCGAAAGTATTAAAAGAATTAAGGCTGAAGGACAAACTAGTCAAAGGAACACTGATCGAGAAAAGACGTTTGGGAGGTCAAGTCGACCTAGTCGAAGGGATATTGTTCAGAATAGAGGGCAAATGTCAACTGGATCTCAAGGGTTAAGGAGAAATCCCTAGTTTAGTAGTTCATCTCATCGTGAAAATTTTCCTGAAGCAAGTAATCGCTGGGGAATTGGTAATGAAATAACTAGCCTTAACAGTTGACAGATGGGTCAGAGGAATCCTTATTGTGCATGTTGTGGTACTGTGCATGTAGGGCCATGTGCTCGATCATATGATATGTGCTTTAATTATGGTCAACCGAGACATATGCAAAGAGATTGCCTTTATGAAGGAAAATCGTAAGGAATTAGTCGTGGGTATGTGTAACCAGCTTCAGTGGTAGCATCTGCAGTTTCACCTCCAGTTAGGAGAAGTAGACCCGATAAAGGTAAAGGGATAACTTCTACCTCCCAATCCCGACCTACTGAGTCAGTTTTGTAGGCTACTTTCGGAGGAGGACAAGCGAGAGTATTTGCCCTGGCCTCGCAAGATATGCCTGCCTCTAATGATGTGGTGACAGATATTCTTTTAATTTGTGGTTTTGAAGCATTGATCTTATTTGATCCTGGAGCTACCCATTCTTTTGTTTTGTCAAATTTTTTGTCTAGATTGAATAGACCTTATGAAATAATGGAAGAACCATTGGTAGTGACTACCCCTTTTAAAGAAACATATATGGCAGAGTTCGTTTATAAGTCTTGCATAGTTCAAGTCAATCATCGAGAGACCTAGGTGGATTTAGTGCTATTAATGACATTGAGGTTTGATGCTATATTAGGAATGGATTGGTTGTAGATTGTTATGCCAATGTTGATTGTCATTATAAATATGTAGAATTTAACTTTCTTGGATAAGTCCCTTTTATTATATATGGACATAAGAGTCCGTGGAATAAAAGGATATATGTAGGGGTCACTAGAGTGGAAACCGGACAAAATTATTTGGTGTGCATAGTAGCCACAGAAGATGTGTCGATGGGGGAAGAGTTTCCTAATATTAAAATGGTGCCAATAATTAATGAATTCAAAGATGTGTTCCCAAATGAATTACCAGGGTTGCCCCTAGAAAGAGAAGTTAAATTTTGCATTAATTTGATTCTTGGCACAGAACCAATATCTGAAGTTCCCTATCGAATGGCACCGACAAAAATACGAGTATTGCGAGAGCAATTGCAAGAGTTGGGGGAAAAAGGATTTATTCGTACAAGAAGTTCACCTTAGGGAGCTTTGGTATTATTTGTAAAGAAAAAAGATGGGAGTTTGAGGTTATGCGTGGATTATTAAAAGTTGACTATTGTGACTATTAAGAATAAATACCCACTTCCCAAGATCGATGATTTATTTAATCAACTGTAAGAAGTGAGATGTTTCTCAAAAATTGATATACGCTCGGGGAATCATCAATTAAGAGTTCGAGAAGAGGATGTACCAAAGACTACATTCTGTAAGAGGTACGGACATTTTGAGTTTTTGGTGATGTCTTTTAGTTTAACTAATCCTCCCG